TGCATGGCGGCTTCTGAAGCAGCGTTGAAGGCGCAGTCATCAGCAAAAAAGCAGGTCATTGATGGTGTCAGTTGCAGCCTTGGTTTTGGCTTGAAGCCTCCTGAGGTTGAAGACAGACCCATCTGTACGGTACCTGATGCCGATTCCTGCATCTGTGTCCCTGAATGCGTCTGTAAGCATGGCCGAGAACATCAGGCTGAACAGGGTGGGAGCAAGCACACAGCCTTGTTTCACTCCATTTGAGACTGGGAATGGTTTAGACGTCTCTCCGTTGTCTTGGACTCTGGCCAGCATTCCATCGTGAAGTTGGCGTACGATGGTGGTGAACTGATAAATTATAGTTTTCATATGAATTGTATCAGTAAGTAATGTAGTTTTGCAATATGCCATTTGAGCCACAAAAATCCAAATGATTTTGTACCATACAAAGTAATTCAATAACAAGACTGTAGAAATAAAATAATGAGCAAGAACAAATGTAACGAAATGAACAGTTCAATTTTTTCACAATTAATGACACTTAACAATTAAGGTTATTCAACTCTTTCTAAAAAAGGACAAGACTATTTGATCAGTGATGAACCTGCCTTTAGCAAGGAATACACCATTCACGAGGAACTTGATTTCCTCTTCTTTGCATTTGAATTGTCACTCACTAAAGCATGTCTCGTCAACATGCTTGCTCCTCTTACAAATGAGTAAATCTGCTCAAAATACAATTTATAAACAATCTCAAAGTAGATTAATGGCATGATATACTTTAATACCTTACACTGCTGACACACACTTTCCTATTTATATTTAATGTTCCATTTCTGTTTTGAAGATTCCTCCTCTCTTTCAGAAAAGTGAGTCTGGCAATATTTTATATAAATTTACCAGTAAGTTTTCATTATCTCCCCCATCCCACCAAAAAAAAAAAAAAAAAAAAAAAAATTGTCTTTCAGTACCACAGATAACATGCAATTTATATTAAATTCTTCTGCTTTAGCTTGTTTTCATATTACTGTTTCAAGGCACCGCTGTTATAGCAAACAGTAGCTACAGTAGATATTATTTTATCGTAACTATGACACGACCTATAATCACCAGTGGCACATAAATGTATCCTGAAACATACACGCTATGTAAAATTTGTATTTGGTTGATTCAAGGAATCTTGAAAAAGCCAACCAATGAATGTTGGCCATGCTCTTCAACCACTTAATTAAAATATTTATCTGTGCCTAAATATAGACTACCTTAATTAAATACTGAATGGTTTATTTATACAATAGTTTCAAATAACGGCAACAAATTTCTACTCAAGGAAAAACAATGTTAATGAATTTTTATTTAACATATGACTATTGTTTTATGTTCAAGAAGGGATAATTGAATATAACTGTATGGCAATAAAACCCATACCTACATGAATGCATATTTTAAAAAATCAGTGCCCACTGGCTCCATTTTTGGCACTGAAATTCTTTTGAAACATTTCTCTTAACAGTGTAGATTTCATCATTTGCTGATATTCATGATTTTCATTCAGAATATAGACATATAGAATTTGCATAAATAAAACTTCTAAACTTTTGTCTTTCAACCATACATTTTAACTGAACCTTGCAGTGGGTTCATGCATCTTAATTTCCTCAAATTTCAGAGATGTGAAAATCTTATTTTATAGTTTCTTTAGGGAGTAACTAGTTAAAAGCAATATTAGGAATCAAACTTTAATTGACTCAATGCTACAGTACCTGTAGTTTTTATTAAGTGCATATTTTAATCCACATGTATTTTAAACATGGATTTGTGGAACTTGAATCAATTATTATATAAGATCTTATATACAGAAGACTCATAATTCAGGCACCTGCAACTCATTTATCAATAACTATTAAATCCTTTCAGTGGCCGTCACAAAGAGCTACATCACAAGAGGCCAGGAAATATTCAATTTTTACTGATTTTCCTGAGGACAAGTAAGGCTCCCCTACACCCCCCCAGTCCATTTTGTGTGTTTTTAATAAGTCTGATTCAATTACTGGGATGCCATAAACCATGACCAATTATTCATAATATTTCATTATCCGGGAAACAAGAGTAAATCTTCTAACCTTGTGTGACTATGAATTTAAATGGAAAGCAAGTGTAACAGAGGAGAGGCCTGGGGATGAGGTAAGTGAATGGAGGAAATGTTTTAGTGCCACGAATGTCTACCTTATTTATTTAAACGTTTTTTAAATTTGTGTAAAACTGGCTAAATTACCAAATTCTGTGTACTTTACAGGGTAGTTGTAATAATTGAATTGGTGGTTTCTTGTACTCAACTGATGGAACAGAAGGAATACTAGCAAAATAGCTAGGAATTTGGTCAAATGGAGCAATGGAACTGATTTAAAATAAAACAAAGTTGGTGAAATTGCTGATGTGTAAATTGTGCCCAGATCACCAATTTTCCACCTGCATAATTCCATAAGTTTTCCATCAAATTTCATACTTCCGGTGTCATTACCTTTAGAAAAAGATTCTCTACCATTTCAAAAGAAAAAACTTTTTTTTTTTAAGTAGACACTGGGGGCAATATTAATTTCATTGGTCTGGACAGTGAAAGAGTTAAATTTTGTTCACAAAAACCAAGTCACACTCAAAATATTTCATCAACTGTAGGATAATTTCCTTTCATACCCAGAGCAAAGTCATTGTTTTAGGGGAAGGCATAGCTTCACTCACTGGAGTAAACTAACCCACCCACATAGTCAACTGCCTTCTGAAAGTGACCCATACCTCACTCTCAAGTTTGTCAGTCCAGTTGTGATGCTTTTCATTGACTCATCTTATCTCTGGATATTAACCACTGAACCCAAAAGGAATACTATTAATACTGACAGTGCCAAGACGAAAATTAAAAAGTGGAACTCTTTACAGCTTCCAAGAAAACTTAGGTAAATATACTTCAGGGAGCATAGTGAAAGTGGGAGGTGGTAAAGGCCAGTAACCCAAATTTACATTGCAAATGCACATGCCCCTGCCTTTAATAATTATTTACCTGCCCTAGCAGTATTTATGCAATTGCTGAATATATTGGTGATTGATAATAATATGTAAGAAACTTGTTAACCAAGAAAGCTGTGTAGTGAAATCATGGTTTAGCAGTGAATGCATCAGCTGATCAAGCAGTCACAAGATATTTCCTGCCAATTCTGTGGCACAGAAGGACCACATCAGCCATCTTTACACATTTCTGTAGCAACAAGGAATTTAAAGACGGATAAAATTCTTTGTCACTTTTTTAACCCTATTTCAAACAAAAAATTTAGATTGCCCGTAAAGCCAAGGCATGATAGTGGCTCTCTCTGCACTGCAAATCATTATTGTAATTACACACTGTAAACAATTTCATTGTGAACTTGCAAAGAAATAAACATTTGAATTTGAAAAAAAGTAATGAAGTGAAGCTATGATGTCATTAGTGGCTGTCGTTTTAAAAGTCATCACAGCTCATGCCACTGAGCCATTTCTCCAGTTTCTGTGTTAAGGAAAACAGGCCTTAAAAATGGTAAGTGATGGTGGTAGGTGGTACAGTACAGTCACATTTTTCTGTACACATATTGTGAAGGGCCAAAATAACCCTCCTCACACATTTCCAGATCAACAAGCAACAACAATTATCTGTTAAAGGTTCTGGGGATTATCTTCCCAACTGCAGTCACAGACCAGGCCTAATAGGTTGGAAAAGAAATATTACAGGATCAAGAACTATTACAAGGCACACAGGAAAGCAATATGTATACTTACTTTATACAGAAGTTTGTAAGATTTACCTGTCATCTTGCTTGTTCATTAGACAAAAATGATCAGCAATTGTGTCAGAATGCAAAACTAATTAAAAGGTTTCCATTTCATACTTATTTGACAGGACAGTCGTACTTCCCTGGATAGTTGCTGTCTATCAACTTACAAGGTTAGGTAAGAAAACAATCATTTCTGATGAATCAAGAAAAAAAAGTTGCCCCCCCTCCCACTTTTTTAAGGTGTCAAAAATGTAGCTTTATTTATCCCACATTTTCTCCACATCACAACTTGTGGCGTGGAGAAAATGTGGGATAGCACTGATTTCCAGGTGCATAACTGCACAAACCACAAGTCTACTTTATTATTTTTTTCACCAATATGTATCCCATTGTATAAAAAGCTTCTAAGCAGTTTTGATACTAAGTACACGCAAATTTCCCTCAACTGGTGCAGCCATCAAGTTAAATTTTCGTTAATAGTACGTACCATACATTACACTCCTACATAGCATTTGCCTTCTTGCCCTATATATTCACCATAAAATGTATGGAAGATCAACCCAACATTTCAAGGTTTTCATTTCTTACAATATCTTTTCAATTCATTATTACGTACTTATCATGCTTATCAATGTAATTTCCTTTTTTGTTTTTACTTTTCTTCCAAATGTAACCCAAACCTTCGAGTCCGACTGCTAAGTCAATGGTTGCTCTTGCCATGACTTTCCAAAGGAAGAACAGCTACTACATTTATGTGTTAGTAGGCATAAATGTCTGTAGCACTGTATGCCAGTGGGTGTTATTGCCAGGCCCCCCCCAGGGTAAAAAGCACCAATGAATAGATTATTGTGCGATAAAGACTTGAGTCATATTTTCTCCGACGAATGCGAAAACAACATTCGAGATGCCAGAAATTCCACTGAAAGTTTGCCACTCCGGTTACTTCTGACACATTAATGACAATGTTCCATCGTGTCTTTTTCATGTAACACTGTACAGTACAGTATATCAAATTTGCTTCCCACTTTCACTTTGTAAGATGCTTGGCTTCTGGCAACACTATAACGATCTGCATTTTTTGCAGTGACAACACTGGCTATTAGCTGTATTATAAAAAAATATAAAATAAATTACAGGTATAATATAATAATAATCATAATAATAATAACAATAATAATAATAAAAATTACTACTAAAATAAAGCTTTCTGAAAAATTATACCTTTAAGTCCTTCATAATGCGGCAGTTTTTTATGGGTCCTACTACAACAAATATCTTGTAAAACTCTTGGTCCGTAAGTGTCTGTGGAAGGTAATTAATGATGAGATTTGTCCGTGTCTCCCCATCAGGAAGCGCTGAACTGGTAGAGGTCTCGTAACTCATTGTGCACTTTCTTATTTTTTCAAGCCTAACCTGTAAGAGAAAAGTACACTTCTCAGCGATTAAAATAAACTCAGTAACACCTAATACATACCGTAGCTAAAAGCTGCCATTAATATGAATGTATATCTAATGTACAAACACTTAGGGGAGAGGGAGCAAAGATCTTGCCAGACAAGGAATAGTTGCTAACGTGTTTTCTAGTGGACAACACAAAACGATGTTAATTAATCAGTGAATAACTCTTAACTCTTCTTCGCAAGAAAAAAAAAATTGTAGTAGTATTGTACTGTACTGAACACTTGCTCACATTTGTGAAACAATGTGATCAAACCCAGAGAAGACAGCTTAGTGATAACCCTCTTAATTTAGAGCCCTCCCCTCCCCTCCCCCCAAAGTACATGGAAATGACTGGATACATGAAGAGGCACATGGCAGTGTGCACAGGATGAAAGGGAGCTTTTCCGAGAAAAGCGTTCAATGGACAGTAGACTATGTATGTGATTTCTGTCCGCCAGACATTTGAGGCTTGTGTACTTTTCTGTAATTTTGGAACCAGCAGATTTAAGCCAATATTTGTCACATACGATAAGGATTTAATCTGCCATATGAAAGTTCTGAAGACTTTCCACAGTAGTGGAAGACTAAATGTGAACTGCAAAACCATTTTTGTCTTGGTAAATGACAGATCTGCCAGGCTGGATTCTTCAATGACTACACTTCTAAAATTGTCAAGATATTTCACCCAAAGTCATCATTTCAAGTAGTCCCCAATTACAGTATGTAGATTTCTGTGACTCACTTTGGGAAATTATGAAGTACAATAAGCCATCATCTTTTCCGTGCATATGGGGATGACGTACAGTACATGACAGAGAGCGTGAGGGATTTTTTCCAATTTGATGGACACCAAAGAGAAACCTGTTTCTTGATGTAGATTCTTCATTGTGAGGGCACTATAGGCAGAAACAGTGACATCTCACTGGGAGTAATGTAGCAGCAGACCAGTTATTAAATGATGTGGAATTCATTGAAAGATATTCAATAAATAGTACTTATTAAATGGAGTTCAACACCAGATGTATTCGTATTACTTTTCTTGCTAAGTTACTGATCGTAAGTAATATTACTGTCTAACACCTTTATAAATATTAAGTCTTCTTTAAACAAATCAGCTGTATCCCACCGAAGCAGGGTGGCCCAAAAAGAAAAACAAAAGTTTCTCTTTTTAACTTTAGTAATATACACAGGAGAAGGGGTTACCAGCCCCTTGCTCCTGGCATTTTAGTCGCCTCTTACAACACACATGGATTACAGAGGAAGAATTTCGTTTCACTTCCCCATGGAGATAAGAAATAAACAACAAGAACTACGAAGAAAATAGAAGAAAACTCAGAGGGATGTGTATATATACGTGTGTACGTGTGACCTAAGTGTAAGCAGTAGCAGCAAAATGTACCTGAAATCGTGAATGTTTATGAGACAGAAGACACCAGCAATCCTACCATCATGTAAAACAATTACAGACTTCTGTTTTACATTCACTTGGCAGGACAGCAGTACCTCCCTGCGCGGTTGCTGACTACCAACCTACTACCTTAACCCTTCGACTGTTTTGGTCATATATATACGTCTTACACACCACTGTTTCTGACATATTTATATGCGTAAATTCTAGCAGCTTCAAATCAAGCGGGAGAAAGCTGGTAGGCCCACATGTGAGAGAATGGGTCTGTGTGGTCAGTGTGCACCACAAAAAAAAATCCTGCAGCACACAGTGCGTAATGAGAAAAAAAAAAAAAAAAGCCGTTTTTTTTTTATTAAAACGCTGACTTTGAGGTGTATTTTCGTATAGTATTTATCATTGTATTCTCGTTTTCATGGTCTCAGCTGATAAAATGGAAAACGTATTACAGAAATAGAGATGATTTTTTACTTTCACGATGAAAACGACCTTGAAATTGAGCTCAAAGTAGCGGAAATGTTCGATTTTTACCAATGTTCAGGAGTAAGCAAATGACACCACACGTCCAATACACTTCAACTGGGGAGTCTAATATTCTTTCACTAGTGCACTGATATTATTTATACCATTTTTATAATAATGCAGTAGTCTGCATAACAGTAAATTTTGCATTTTGTATGAATAAAAAATCAAAATAGAAAGCAATAGTAATATGAGGGGCCTAGAGACGTGACTAATGAACAGAGGATATGTTATTTTAGTGCCAAGAATGTCTACATTGTTTATTCTGGACCCTATTTTGAAATTGGCATCTTTTTTAATTTGCGTGAAATTGCCCAAATTACCAATTTCTGAACACTTTATTGGGAAGTTCAAATTGGTAAATGGGTGGTTTCTTGTACTCAACAGATAGAAAAAATGGAGTTCTAAAGAAATAGCTGAGTTTGGTCAACTGGAACAACGAAACTGGCCAAAAAACAGGGCTCAAAGTCGGCGAAATTGCCGATGTGTATATGTCGCCGAGACTGCTAACTTTGCGGGAGCGTAATTCCAGGAGTTTTCGACCAAATTTCGTACTTTTGGTGTCATTACCATCGGGAAAAGATTCTCTATCATTTCATGAGAAAAAATAAATTTTTTTTCCCCAAAATTTATCGGCATTGAATGACAGTTTCAGAAAGGTGCCTGTGACAGTCAAAGGGTTAAATAAATATTAAGTATGTACCAGTTTCATTTTGTGTACAGTAACGTATTACAGTGGACCCCCAGTTTTCATCCTTAATCCGTTCCAGAAGGTCAGTCGAAATCCGAAATGGACAAAAACCGAAGTAATGTTTCCCATAAGAAATAATGTAAATCCAATTACATTGGGCCCTCAATAATTGTCCGGTCTGAAAGTCGTCCATTTTGGAAATACAGTGGACCCCCGCTTAACGTTGGCATTGCATAGCGTTAAATCTGCATAGCGATACATTTTATCGCTAAAATTTTTCCTCGCATAGTGCTAAAAAAATTCGCTCAACGCGATTCGTCCGAGACGCGTCCATGCGGCCTGAGCCAGCCTCACTTGTTCTGCCAGTGGCATTGTTTACAAGCCAGCCTCCGCGGTAACATTCAAGCATACAATCGGAACATTTCGTATTATTACAGCCTTTTTATAGTGATTTCACCTGAAAAATAAGTGACCATGGACCCCAAGAAAGCTTCTAGTGCCAACCCTACAGGAATAAGGGTGAGAATTACTATGGAAATGAAGAAAGAGATCATTGCTAAGTATGAAAGTGGAGTGCATGTCTCCGAGCTGGCCAGGCTGTATAGTAAACCCCAATCAACCATCGCTACTATTGTGTCCAAGAGAACGGCAATCAAGGAAGCTGTTCTTGCCAAAGGTTTAACTGTGCTTTCGAAACAGAGATCGCAAGTGATGGAAGATGTTGAGAGAGTGTTATTGGTGTGGATAAACGAAAAACAGATAGCAGGCGATAGCATCTCTCAAGTGATCATAAGTGAAAAGGCTAGGAAGTTGCACGAGGATTTAATTAGAAAAAGGCATGCAACTAGTTGTGATGCGAGTGAATTTAAGGCCAGCAAAGGTTGGTTTGAGAGATTTAAGAGGCGTAGTGGCATAGATAGTGTGATAAGGCATGGTGAGGCTGCCAGTTCGGACCAAAAAGCAGCTGAAAAATATGTGCATGAATTCAAGGAGTACATAGACAGTGAAGGACTCAAACCTGAACAAGTGTTTAATTGTGACGAAACAGGCCTGTTTTGGAAGAAAATGCCAAGCAGGACCTACATTACTGAGGAGGAAAAGGCACTCCCAGGACATAAGCCTATGAAAGACAGGCTTACTCTTCTCATGTGTGCCAATGCTAGTGGTGATTGCAAAGTGAAGCCTTTATTAGTGAATCACTCAAACTCCCAGAGTGTTCAGGCAAAAGAATATCCTCAACGCTAATTTGTGTGTGCTGTGGAGGGCAAACAATAAGGCATGGGTCACTAGGGACTTTTTCTATGACTGGTTACACCAAGCATTTGCCCCCGCTGTGAAAAATTACCTAACTGAAAAGAAATTAGACCTTAAGTGCCTCCTGGTGTTAGACAATGCCCCTGGTCATCCTACAGACTTGGCAGAGCGACTTTGTGGGGACATGAACTTCATTAAGGTGAAGTTTTTGCCTCCTAATACCACTCCTCTCCTGCAGCCCATGGACCAGCAGGTTATTGCAAACTTCAAAAAACTACACAAAAGCTCTGTTTGAAAGGCGCTTTGTAGTGACCTCAGAAACTCAATTGACTCTAAAGAGTTTTGGAGAGATCACTTTAATATCCTCAATTGTGTAAACCTTATAGGTAAGGCTTGGGAAGGAGTGACTAAGAGGACCTTGAACTCTGCTTGGAAGAAACTGTGGCCAGAATGTGTAGACCAAAGGGATTTTGAAAGATTTGAGGCTAACCCTGAGAGGAGTATGCCAGTTGAGGAATCAATTGTGGCATTGGGGAAGTCCTTGGAGTTGGAGGTTAGTGGGGAGGATGTGGAAGAGTTGGTGGAGGAGGACAATGAAGAATTAACCACTGATGAGCTGCTAGATCAACTTCAACAGCAAGAGGCCACACCTGAGAAAATTGCTTCGGAGGAGGGGAGAGAGAAATTGAAGAAGTTGCCTACTTCAAAGATTAAGGAAATCTGTGCAAAGTGGCTTGAAGTGCAAACCTTCATGGATGAAAATCACCCTCAGACAGCTATTGCAAGCTGTGCTGGTGACTATTACACTGACACTGTTGTGAAACACTTTAGGAAAGTCATAAAGGAAAGAGAGGTACAGGCCACTATGGGTAGATATGTTGTGCGACAGAAGTCCATTGACTCTGAAGCTGGTCCTAGTGGCATTAAAAGAAGAAGGGAAGCAATCCCGGAAAAGGACTTGACACCTCAAGTCCTAATGGAAGGGGATTCCCCTTCTAAACATTAAAACCATCCAGTCTCCCCTCCTCCCATCCCATCAATCATCACCACATCTTCAATAAAGGTAAGTGTCATGTAATTGTGCATGTTTTCTTAAGTTTG